TGTCTGTGGGGGTGGGGGAGGGGGAGGGAGTATATGATCCAGTATGCAAAACATTTCTCTTTGATAAGGTGTACAAAGACATTTCTATATAATTAATTGGTCCCAAAAAAAGGGTTGAAAATATGTCGATCCGGATACAGTTCAATTTCAAGCTCGAAGCCATAGTCCACTACTCTTTTGATGTGATAACCAACAATCCCAGCGCACCTATCATTATATACTTGACGATAGGCATTTCAGTCATGATAATGGTCACCCAGCCAGCGTAAGGCAAGAACCCAACTGCTCTCCCCATGATGTGATGCCGTTGCAGCCAGCTTTGTCCAGGAGCATAGAGAAGTCTGTCATCCTTCAAATTGTTATCTCCTTTTGTAAGGACATTAACATTTCCAGTTTCTTGCTGCTCATGAACCTTGATTACTCGATGAACAATAGGAATTTCACGTCCATCAATATTAAACACAACAATTTCTCCGGCCCGAATGGGATCCTTGGTCATGTGCAAGAACAAAATGTCACCCCTTTTAAAGCCAGGTTCCATACTTCCTGAAAGCACAACCACCACTGGTGACTCACTCCCAGTTATGCATACTAATCCTTTCCATATTATTAGTGCTGATGTAACAATCATTACCAGACTAACTGCTTCGTTGAGGACTTGTCTCAACCGAATTGACTTTATCGACTCAATCTGCTCTCCCATCCACCCCATCTCTCTCTCAAATATTTCAACTTTTTATGATGGATTTGGGAAGAATATTTCTCTAGCGACTAGCAACATAACCTAAATCAAAACTTTTTATCCTGACCTACCCCAGTCCTTTATAAAGGTAAATGCAGTCCCGACCCGACCCGCCAATGCCTTGTACTGTCGGTGGCATTATAAGTGTTAATATTGAGGCACGTGCATCATGACTAGGATACTCATCAACAACGTATTTTTCACGTTTCTGCTGATCTAAAGTAAATTCAAAATGCAGCTCCAAGTTTTGCACTCTTTTTACCTTGATGGCTGACATATTCCCTCTCATCATAAGGGCAGTAAAAAAAAAAAAATAACAAATGCACAGAATTTAGTTGGAGTCAAGATCTTCTAGCTAGCTTCACGAAGGACCTAGGGGTTTCTAAAAATAATGTGAAGTTATATTAATATTCTCTATATCAAATGTGGACTTGATGTCACGTAGCAGTTGAAGTATTGAGCATCCACATAATTATATCTTCACTCTGGATTTACAGCCGGAGGTTGGTAGTTACTAGTGATACAAGTATAATATTAATTTGTAAGTGGAAAATGACTAATTTGGCTATTCAGTGGTCTTCTTGTTGAGTTCCTCTCCAGAAAGGAAAACATGGTGAAACCGTGACTGTAAGAGTCATTATTGTATTGAGGTGGTGAATAAGCTTGACTTCCACCTTCTGGAAATTAATTAAGGCACAGCTACTAATCTAGCTTTAATTGCAGCTTGTCAATGACTCTAGTGACTTCATAAACCATCCCATTTCATATAATAAGAGCTTCCCCTTTGGAAGAAAAAAAATCTTATAACCTGGCACTGATCACCAAACTTGGTTATTCTTTTGATCAATTTGTTGGCAAGTTGAGTGAAGCAATAAAGATTTGTTTTTTTGATAAGTGGGAAATAGGATTAACAATAGGGAGGAAAACTAGCACTATTCAAACATCTGCTATAAGAAGCACCTTTTAGACATAAAACTTCTTAGTAAGCCAGCGCGATGCGCGAATAATTTTTGACAGAATATTAATTTTATAAAATTATGATCTAATATATCATATTATTTTAATAAATCTTAGTTTTTGTTTTATTGTTTAATATAGTATGCAGAAATATAACAAAATCTATACGAAATCAAAGGATACACATCATATAGTAATCAAATAAATTATTTGATCCTTATTTATTCTTTATCAAATTAGCAAGTACTTAGTACTATACATTTACTAATGTGACTTTTTATTAACTTGTCAATTGACCTAATATTTTGATACTACTTCTATTTTAATATAACATAGATATATATTTTCTTACTCTGAAAATATTTTTATTTTTTTAAAACTTATGTTATACAGTTCAAAATTCTTCAATGGTCTAAATTTATCAATAATTTTTTTGAGTGTTATTTTTTTGGTTTTTTAAATAGTTCAAAATATAAATATCATAAATTATCTTTATTTCCCTATTTTCATACATTCTTTTCTACAGTATAACTCCCCTCACTTTAAGCTCATGTATTCCCTTGTGTGATTCAAACATGTCTGGACAATTGTTTTTCTTTACCTACTGTGCACTTACCATTTTGTTAATCCCAAATCCCTATTCCCCTCTAAGTGTTTATGTTCCTCATGACTAGTTTGTGATTATGCCAGTGTCAAGCTATCTCTGAGCATGTCCATACCAGTCCTAATACTCCTGCCGGGGTCATATGTATGCAGGCAATGTCTGTATATCCCCAAACCCCTTAATCCCTGTGTGATTACTGAATACATTTAGATTCTGTGAACTTGTTGTATGTGGTCTTATCCTGAAGTGTTTGAACTCTGTTTACTACTCCAACCTCTTTCAAACAACCTCTATTGCTTTACTAATTGCTTTCAAAACAGACCTTTAAGTCCAATCTTTAATAAACTTCTTTCAAACATGTGTCCTGCACTTTTACTCTACTCTTAGTTAATAAGTTCTGCCCCCTCTAGTATGTGTACTGTCTTGGGATCCTCTTGAGAACCCTTGGAACTCTGACATACTGAGGCTGGCTTTCTACGCTGCACTGGTTCAATGCTTGGCTACTAAGTCTAGGTGTAAGCATTGCCCAGAGTCCTAGAGACCCTTAGGGAACTTTGATGCACCTAGACCCTGATTTGTCTATGGAAATGAGGTTTGAAAGACCATTGGAGGCTTTGGAAACTTGGGCCTGATTGCAGGCTCCCTATAGAATAGCTTCTTAGTTTTCTATTTCATTTATGTAATTCATTTGTTGGTCTGTAATATTTGTAAACAAATATTTGGGGTAATTTAGTAAAAGGGGTGGGTAGATGTATACTTTGTGGGGTAATATGGGTAGAAATCCTGCTCTTAGGATTTTACTTTCAAATATGCCTGCTTTACTCAATAGAAAACATGTTCATAGGGTGTGACTCTTGTTGAATCTGATTTCATTTTGCATAATATACATCATGTCTATAGGTTTTCACTTTTAATGTCATTTGCATCAAATATAAACCATGTTTATAAATCCTGCATTTGTCATGTTAGAAACCATGTTTCCAGGTTCCAAGCCATCATGTTTTAAATCAATTCAAGTATAAATACCATGCCTATATGACATAATTTCGATTCAATAAGTTACTGCAACTTGCCTAAAACTAGTAACACGCCTAGATACCATGCCTATAAGGACTTCTACTCGCAATTATGTCTGATAATCTAATTAGCCCAATGAGTTGATTTTATCTCACCTAGTTTACTTCTTAAAACTGGCCTTGTCAAGTTATAACTCTCTAAAATCGATCCTTTCATAATTGCTTTAATCCCGTTAGATATTCTGCTTATAGGTATTGAAAGGTTCTATTTCAAAAACTTGTCTGTTTCTGCATTAACATAGACACAGTTCTGCATATAAGCAAGCCTGATCGCTGCCAACTCCGCATTACTACAAAGTAGGAAAAGAGGGTCGCAATAGCTTTTACCCGATATGAGGGTCGGGATCGAATTCCTTAGGGAGCTAGGAAGGGAGTTGAGTATCTGTCTAGACTAGAATCGTGTAATTGTTCCAAATGTCACTTCCAAACATCTTTTGATTTTTTCTTTAACAAACTAATATTATCAACTACTAATTAGAACTAAATTATGCTAATGAGAAAATTGCTAGAGTTGTATCTAATGGATAGAAAGGCACTAGGGTAGTGAATTTCACCTAGGTGGCTAATTGACAGGTAAATGCTTCTAAGGTTCGATTGACATGATTGGGGAAATATGCTATAACCGTTGCATAAATTTACCCACTCTCACACCTCTCGGTAAAGAGAGTAATTTTGCCCAATTGACTCTCTCGAGACCAAATGGGTAGGCAAATTAGCTCAAGTAACTAGGGTTCAAGTCGGGTAATTACTCTCTCGAGGTTTAACCCTTTAATTGGGACTATCAATTCTCTTGAGTTCATCCCAATTCCTTGTTGGGTCAATTTTGGAGACTTAGGCTCTCTTTCTCAAGAAGAGCCAAGTCAACTTAGCACAAACCAGTATTTGCAACCACCAATTCATAGATTAAACCATAAAATTGACCCAAATACCAAACACCCATAGTAATCTAACCCTAGATGGCAATACCCATCAATTACCCACACTAGGGTTGAGCCACAACCCTACCTAATGAGTTTAGCTACTCATGCTTGAATAAGAAAACAGAGAAATAGATGAAGAACAAGACATATTAATTAAAAGCTAATGTAAATACAGAGAATCTATCGTTAAATCTAAGTTAAGAAGCCAAAAATGGCTACACAATAGCTTCTCACGAGCGCAGCTTCGTTCTGGAAATAACTGATACCCTAAAAATGAAAAAATGTTCTATTTATACTAAGCTAGAAAAACTGGACAAAAATGCCCCTGCGGGGTCAGTGCGGACCG